ACCCCCCCACTCCCCAGTAGCTGATGGAAAAACCTTTCTGTGACCAACAGAGATGGAGGCAGGGAGAAAGAAAATCATGTCTGGCACAGATTCTTTAGAAAGACTGGCTTTTCAGAGGTTCCTAGAGCTTCTGTGCAGAGAACTGAGAAGGAGAATGGGGCAAGGCACTGAGGTTTCAACTCATCGATGAGGAGACTATAGGCACTTACTACATATGATCTCGAAGCCATCCCAGAAATCCCGAACTTTCACATCGGAAATTATAGCACAGTTCCTGCAGTTCACCAAGTCCACATCCTGGTCTCCAAATTCTTGGCTAGGCTTCTGGGGCTTCCAGAGTTCAGACTTGAGCTTTTTATGTACCCGGGGGCTGAACCCAACTGAGGAAGCTCGGAGTATATGAAGCAAAGCATGGAAGGAAGGGAAAACAAAACGAACACACCCAGAAACAAGTGTTGCTGGTGTCCCAGAGGGAGGAGGAGTGTTTGGTAACTAATTTTCATTTGGCTCCTCTCCTGTGCTTCTCTGCCATGGTCCCAATAGTTTAGTTCTGGTTTTTTTTTTTGGTTTGTTTATTTTTATTATTTTTTTCCAGCAGATGAAGAAATGACAGAACAGAGTAGGTATCTTATGGTTTGTTTGTTTTTTTGGATTTCTTCTTAGGCCTGTTTAATTATTTTTTTCCTCAGTTGACTGTTGGCACCTGGTTCCTCTGTAAACTATATTCCTTGGCCTTCAGTCTCAGGTTGGCAATGCTGTTGGCCATGTTGATGCCCTGTGCAGGGCTATTGTTGGCACATGTGGCAGAATAAGTAGCCATGGCACTGTAGGGACAAAGGAGAGAGCGGGGAGAATAACAGGCATTAGTTTCACGAAGCTGTAAGTCTGTGCCCCCAGATGGGTGTGACTCTCAGAACGGGGGGCCGGCAGGGGCAGGAGGGTTGGACGAGATGACCTCTGAGGTCCCTTACAGCCCCAGATTTCCATTAGTCTAAGGCACTTGGCGAAGGGTGGCAGTGTTTGAAAGGGCAGGGCAGAGCAGAGGAGAGTGGACCAAGGGATGGGGGAGAGAGGCATTCGCTGTGTTGGACTCAGTGAGTCATGATTTATTTCTGGGGTGAGAGAAGAAAGCTGCTTGTGCTGAATAACAGGTGTGTGATCAGCTATCCAACTGAAACCTGTTCAAAGCCTTCTTCCTGCCTACATCCCTGGCATATGGGAGCAACAAGAAAGAAAAGGAGGCATTTGAAAAGAAAATTTTTGCCTTCCTCACTCTAGGACGCCGACGTTCACTCTAACTCATTTTAGATGATCAACAGATACCACACTAAATACCATTCTTGGAGAATCAGTTAAACAACCCAAGATAACTTTTGTGCCGTTCCTTGCACAAAAGCATTGCCCAATCAAGAGGGACCCATTGTGTTTGGCCTTGGTTTGATAACTTTTCAAAAGGACTTGAATAGCTCCAGACACTGCTTTTGGGTCAGTCATTTTGGAGATGTTGAAATCCCTTAGATGAGCTAGCCAAGGCTTCAGTTTTAGGATTCCCGACCTGTTTCTCACTGTCTGTATTCCTGAGAAAAACCTGAAGTTTTGTTTTTTGTTGTCAGAGATTGTAATTAAGACCTAGGAATACTACTGGGAAGAAATTTGTAATTGGTGGTTTTGTTACTTGTACCCATGAATTTCTTTTAAAGGAAAGAGTAATGGTTTCTTTGACTTGGATGCAAATTATCCATTACTTTATATAAACAGTTAAAATGGTACTCGTTTTAATTAAATGAAAATGTTTCTAGTTGTTTTTAAGATTAGCAAAATCCCTTTCTACTGAGATAGACTTACAAATAGAAAGATGTGTGCTCTCCCATTGCCTGCATTGCAATGCAATTTTGTCAGCCACACAGGGGTTTGTGGTTCTGGGGATCAAGTGACAGACCAGAAAGAGAGAAAACTAAAGCTACTTGCACAGATAGAGCGACTGTATCATTAATACTTATTTGGGACACCGCATTGTCAAGGCTTATAGTCAAGATCCACAATAGCCTATTTCAGCTCAGATACTAGCAATTAACCCAGGAAGACTAGGTTGAAGAAATAAAATTAGTCCCCGGTCACTAGGTCTTTCCAAAAATACACATCCTTAATGTAAAATCCTTATAGCACTGGGGTGTGTGTGTGTGTGTGTGTGTGATGGCAGAAGGAAGAAGATTTAGAAGGGTTATAAAAGATCCTTATGCTCTTGTATTTCATATTAGCCTGCTTTGCTCTTACTCATTTCTGGATTGATGATTTTAACCATCTTTACAAAATTAGGTTCTCCTATAGCTCCCCGGACTTTTCCTCTTAGCACTTATTTTAATTCCTCAACTGTAAGTTCCACAGATGAGGCACCATATCTGCCTTGTTCACCCCTGTCTCCCCAGGTAGAGTTCACATCCTGTCTACCACACATTTGCCATTCAAGAACGTATTTAATGAATAGATAAGTAAGACTAAACTGATTCCAGCTCAATGTCACTTTTCTCTGTCATCCTGCTGTGAGTAATGATTCTAAAAATATTTCACCAATATGCTTTTATTCTTAGGAACGTATGCTTCCCTGTTAATTTTGCTATCTTAGTAGAATGTACAAAATCAGAAAGGACATGACAAAACAGGAGCTGGTGATTGCATATCCTTAAATCCATAACAATATCTTTTAAGAGAAAAAAATAACAAATATTAATACAGGTTAGACTAATAGAATAGACTCTCACTTCTACCACTGCCTACCAAAGGCAGAGGCAGAAAAAGAGTCCCAGTTAAAGGTTTCAATTAGGAGTGAGATAAGTGACCAGAACAACCCATTAAAATTGAACAAGTTTTTTTTGTCTTTCCAGTATACCAAGAAATTTCATTTATTTTCCAACCCCACATACATATAATCATTTAATTTCTATATGAATTACCATCTTCCATTCAAGAACCTGCCAGAAATACATGTGCATCTATAAATCCTCTATTCAAGGGTGTTCAAGGATACACTGAAATCTAAGATTTCAAAGAAATCAAAGATCTACTAGTAAATTGGTAAGAAAAGGAACACTTTGGATTGGGGACATGTACCTGAGTCATAGACCACAAAATCAATCAAACAGGCTTTCTCAACCAGGTTTCTGCAAGAGAAGGAAGCCCTGGAGATGGTACATAGAACCATTTTAAATGCATAGGAGAGGCGCTGGAATTGTGAGTTATCTGTGATATCCGTTAAGTACTGAGAATGGATTTGGACGGCTTCCTAAAACAGAAGACTAAAACTTCTTGAGAGAACACTTATAAAACTGAAATTGCTACAGTTGTGATTTCAATGTTATCTATTATAGAACCATGCTTGCTGTATTTTCTGCAGCGTTTACTAGTGTCATCTGATAGTCTAGTGCAGGGGTGGGCAAACTTTTTGACTCGAGGGCCACAATGGGTTCTTAAACTGGAATGGAGGGCCGGAACAAAAGCATGGATGGAGTGTTTGTGTGACACGGGCCATAGTTTGCCCACGGCTGGTCTAGTCTGAAGACTGACTGTGGTAACAAATGTCTTGGAAATACTGAGATTCTCTCACTAATGCAGGCCAGATATTCGTATCCCAAAGGAGGTGAATATTGATCCACTTTCCATTTCAATACCAAGTTAGTGTAAATTAGCATTCTGTCTTGCACAGGAGATGGGATTTTCACTGAGATATTTCCCCTTAAATGGCAACCAGTTATTAGAGTTGAAAATAGCTTCCTGTCCGACTCTACTGTGGGCTGTTACAAGGACATCGCTGTACCAGTGAGGCCTCAAGCTAGTGGTTGATATTCATGAGTAAGTTTTGAACTTTCCTAGGAACAAAGCAAATAATAGCATTTGCACTTGGTAAGTGCTCAGGAAAGTTAGAAACTTTCAAAAATTGGTCTAAAATATGCCAGCATTTCATAGCCATAAGAGGTAAACTAAGAGTGAGTCTTAATTCAGAGCCTCTTAACAAATGTTTAGACCACCTAACTGTACAAATAGAGACTACAGTGAGGGCTTTGTGCACATACGAAAGGATTGTGAATCTGTGTTCCCTGAGTACTTGGACATGGGTTTAGATTCTCAACTTGAATTAAAAGTGCCATGTAGACAAGTAGGGAGCAGTCCTTTGACGTGCCAGTGAGGCCTCAAGACTTGTTACAAGTCAGAAAAGACAGAATTAGTGAGTGGGTACTCGAAGAGCAATTTCGTCATGCTTTTAAAATGGCATTAGAAGATAGAGAGGACCCACTTGCAAAAATGACAACAGGTGCAAGAGAGCCTTGAGTGGCTGCCAGTCAGAATGTTCATGACCACCTGTTTTCCATGTCATCAAAACTTACACTGCTCTGTGTGAGGCAAAGAAAGAGAACCCTGGAATGTTTTCTCACAAGACAGACACCAAAGGCAATGAGCTGTTTTCAACTAAACTTACAGGACCATTGGAACCATGAAAAACGCCCACTCCTTCCTATACAGGAATAAGCTTCCTGGGACAAAAAGATGAAATGGAAACGAAGTGACTTACACAGAGTAAGCACATGGACTGCACCAAGAGCCTGCTGACCAACACCCAGAGATCCTGCCCCTTGGTCTCGCTTTATGAGTAAGAAACATGTGCTTTTTCTAACATGATAATGCCCACATGACCCTGGGACTGGGGGTTCATGGAGGTTGTTGGCTCAAGCAACATTTTATTTCATTTCAATGAATGTCAAGTTTGTTATGTCCACGACCAAGAAACTAGGTTGATGAATAAAGTGCGCTGAAGAATTAGAGATGAAAAGGAAATTCCCATAGCCCACCTGTCAACTCAGAAAGTCTACCCTGAGGCTCACACAGAGTGGACACATGGACGTGAGCTTGAACATTTTCCATCTCCTTATTTGGAGATGCCTCACAGATGGTGCTCAGCCATACAATGCAGCGTGCTAACCACCAGCAGGGACGGAGTTCTGTTTTCACTGGAGACAAATAATTTTTGATGACTTCAACCTACCCTGAGAGGTTATTGTGAGGAAAAATGTGTTACAATGGCTGCCAAATACCAAGAAGTCTGGGAGATACTATACATAATATGATTTTGAAGCCAGGAAACTGGCAGGCATCTGCCTCTCTACTTCCTCAGCAGCCAGAGTGTAAGTCCCATAAGTCACAAAACAATTGAGGACAGTGGGGTGGGGTTGGGGAGGGACAATAATAACTGACTTAGTTTTCAACTCTAACTTTGTTTTTCTGTTTGGCCCTTTTGGACAAATGATGACGAGCTGTTGAGAATTCCATCCCAAAGACAGATCCGTTAACCCGAGGCATCTATGTGCTTTCTGAGGTCCTAGAGTTTCCCAGCTCAGGAGTTTTCCAAAGCGGTGGAGCTGGAGGTTTGCCCCGACTCTGTCTATAATGTGTAGAGGTTGGAGACTGTCTCTTAGGTTTGTTCATCTGTCAGTGTAAGAACACGGAGGTATACTTGCTTCATCTAAGAAAACTTTTGAGTTTTCCAAGGGAAGTTTATCTTAGAGAGAAAACGAAAGTTCCCTTTTGGAAGTGATCTTTTGTGATTTAAATAATCATTTCTAATTTCTGTTTTTAAAATCCACAAGTTAATTTTTGAAATTCAGCTTTTTAAGTGAATACACTTGGACCCTATTTCACTGATAAGCCTTCAGTTTGCACTGTGTGCTCAGGGATCCTTCTGCCATTTTTAACTCTTTTTTCTCCAGATGTGTTACATTGGAAGCCTTGCATCCCTCCTTTGTCTCAACAATGTTTGTACTTCCTTTTTGAAATGCACATTGCTTATCTACAGATTCCAAATGCCCCGGAGAAGTAGGTAATAGGAAAACTGTAACTAGCTCATCTTAGATGCAAGGTTACACGGGAGATAGATGATCCAACAGGAGCCAGGACAAGAACGTAGTTCTTCCGACCTCTGCCTCACACCCTACGGTCATTTAAAGCCTCACTATTCCAATTATGTCCCAAGTGTCAACAGTGTGGCATGACATGAACGCCTGTTAGCACTGCAGAAGCTGAGTCTGCACTGTCACACTGTGCCTGGCAATCCATATACCCAGTCATTTTTGAGGAGCCCTGCGCTAGGCTACAGACTTTACAGACCCATTTTCTTGCAGTCCAGCTGGTTTCCAATGGTATCCCCCACTTAGGGACCTCTCTGCTTTCATTTCTAGGACCGCAAGTCCTGCTTTCTTAAACTCTTATTTCCCACTTAAACCCTACCCCCAGCAGCCACCCTCTTCCCCCTGACAAGTTACCTTTTCAGTGTCTTCCGTTAGAATCCGTTATGAAGTCCCTCGTGTAAACAACATCTTGGGAGGGACGAGGATCTATTTTTGAAAGTGTGAAAGGGAGACATGAGCCAAATGCGTTCAGCAGATGTCAGGCAGCACCGTGACCACGACCAGAGGAGGGGAGGAGGAGGAGGAGAAGGTTAGAGGAGAGAAACTGTGGACAAGGATAGCTGGCCTCCCTTTTACTTGTCGTAGGTTCTCTTGGAAGCCCAGCCCTCCCTCTGGAAATGGCCCTCCAGACCGATACTGCAGAGCCTGGCCACTCTCTAGCTCTTATAGAAAAGGGCATCTCTGGGGAAAGACTTTTCTATTATTCTATCTAAAACAGCAGCCCAAAGCCCAGGACTTGGTTAATTAGTGCTACCCAGAGGCAAAGCACTACAAGATAGGAAGTCTTAGTAGCTCTGGTGCTGGTATGATTTTCACAGAGGGAAACAGTTCTGAGCTAAGCAGTGGGCATGTGTGCCAAAAACAAGCTCTCTTCCTCTGGCTGCGGGTAGGTAAAGAAGACACCTACCGGGCTAGTAGTGTCCGTGTGAGGGAATGCTTTGCTACTTCTGGTAACTCGATTGCCTGCCTGACATCACCACCTCTAGCACGCTCACGGGAATGAATGAGGTCATGACGTGCTAAAAATATAGTGTGAACCATATGTCCCAGTTTGCCAGGGACAATCCCAGTTGAATGCCTGTTGTTCTGGTGTTATTATTAATAGCACACCCCTTTCACTCTCAGAAGTGTCCCAGTTTGGACGATAAATTATACAGCCACTACTCTAGATATGGAAGACACCCAGAAATAAAATGTGTTGGCTATTTCCTATCCCATAATCCTGAACATATGCACACAGTTGCTTTGAGTCTTACTATTTTCCTGTCTTCTCTGTGGGAGTCAGCACACTGTCCTGTCCTGTCTGACAAAACTGCCCTCTCGCTGTCCCTGGGTTACATGGCCAAGCCCCATCAGTCATCCCAAGGGGATGTCCACACCCCTCGTCTTGTTAGACCCTGAACCAAAGAACATGTTTATGTAGTTTCCCAGTCTTCCACTGTTACTATTTTCAATATACTGTCTGGTTTAATTTAAATGAAAATATGGCCACGTGTCCTACAATTTTGGACAGAAACGGGGATCATGCGCACTGGGTCTAATTCTGCTTGCTGAAAGCTTAAGCTTGGGCGAATGTTTAGTTTCTTCTTTGGAACCAGAGCAAGGACAGAACTACCACACTAGAGCATTCCAAGGGTTGACCAAGAGAAATGCCTTTTAATCAACATCACATGGGAGATAACTAACTTGACATAATAGTACCAACAGAAAGAGCGAGTTAATTTTCCATAACACAAAAGGTCTATCAATTGCTTTGCTTTTCATCACTTGTTTGTTTTTTATCACCCCTTAACAAAACTTCTATTTCAAAGTGGAAAATCATAAAGTATTTTGTATCTACTAAACATAGCAGAAAGATCTCCAAGAAACAGAATAGCTTTTTACCACTTTTAGAAATTAATCAAAAATAGAAACACTTCAGTCAATAGTGGGTCAAACAACATTATTATTGATTAAATTACTGCTTTAAAACATTGTTTTTTTCTACTTATAGCCAGAGATTAACTTATTCTTCATACAGAATATGAACAATCAGAGTCTATAAATTTTTAATGAATTATATTTTACAAACTCTGTAGCTAAGAGAGAAATGATATAAAAGTATACCATGAAACGAGTAAAAAGTACTAGGTTATATAATTTTAAGTGAAAAAAGCAGGATACAAAATACTATGTACACTAAGTCTACACTATATAAAATACTGAACTCTAATTGCAAAAGTAAACAAAACTAGTTATGTCAAGATGGTGGATTTATGAGTATTTTTTAATGTTTCTAATATTTCTACATAATCTCTCAAATTAAAATAGAACATTTCCCAAGAAGGCACACATAAATTGTGTGTTAATAATTTCAGTTAGATGCCCATATATATAATATATATGATGCTGGCCCCGGGGTTTGAACTTCTGCTGAGGTCCGGTAACCTAACCCAGTATAAATTCAGGAAGGCTTTCATCCCCATTCCTGGAGGGGACTGCCCTCAGCCTCTCACTGGTAAGGACCACATACAGCCATCTGGATTGCTTACAGCTGGTATGAGAAGTTCCTAGGAGGACCCAGGCAGAAAAGGGAGCAGGACTTCCTGGCTGTGACCAAATTCAAAACAGAAACCTTGAAACATCAAGCTTGGAACCACATCCATTTCCCAAGACATTTGATGAGCCTGTGAGCTATCAATATTTATCAGAGAAACACAGCAGTCTTCCGGGTATTTAAAAATATTAAAGGCTAGGTGATTTCACAATTGTCTTCAAAATGGGTCTTTAGTAAATTCTATGGGAGAGGAGTCTGAATTTTAAATGGGACCCAAAGATATGACTAATCTTTTGAAATCAACAAGGCATACCATGTCTGAGAGCAAGAAGAGTTTCCAGTTTCCTATGGGGTGTGTGTGTGTGTGTGGGGGGGGGCATGTTCTCTGTACTAAGACCAAAGTAATTCAGGCTAATTTCACAATTCGGTTGGGGGGTGGGTGTTCAAAAGAGATTTGCAAATGTATTTCTGATGTTTCTTTCAAGAAACTGACGTGGAAGAGAAAGAACATTTAGGTGAGGCCTTTTGCTTTGATTAGAGTAATCAAAGTTTGAAACATATTTGGATTTCACAATGTGGCATTTTACATCAAGAGTTCAGCTTCCACTGGGGGATAATCTATAATTAATTTAAAACATCTCCTTAACCCATTAGTGAACTTTAACAATAAAAAGGTAACCAAAGCACAATAAATGAATTTGGAAATAGTGCTTTCTCCACTGCAATCAGCCAGAGATCATCTTGATCTGGTTTCTAAGAGTACCCAGGTTTAGGTTCAAAGAAAGGCACTTATATGATGACAGTGTGTTAGGCACTTGTATTATATCTCAGCTTCCCTCTGGCATTAACCTATAATTCTGAACAGCATAACAAATGGAGGTTAAAGGCCTCTCCAAGACATTGAAATAGTACTCTGTTATTTGCGTCTTTAAAAATATTCACCTTTTTAATATAAAAGTTTAGTGTAAATTATACATTGCTTTTATACTTTAAAAACCCCACACAAACAAACTGACCCCCAAAGAACTTCAGATAGTAGATAAGATTTAGCAATTGAATAGGAAGGCATTTTGGACCATAAGGCATCCCCTACTAACAAAGAACTGTGACCATGAAACTGATCAAAATGATTTTGGATTTTCTTTCCTTCTCTCTCTGTGCCTCTCTCTTTCCTCCCTCCCTCCCTCCCTCCCTCCCTTTCTTCCTTCCTTCCTTCCTTCCTTCCTTCCTTCCTTCCTTCCTTCAATTTAAAATTAGTTTTACTGTGAATTACAGCCTTACAAATTCAATTCTTACTTCAACATAGAAAAATGGATCTATCTTAAATTTGGAAATGGAGTAAAGTTTTGTTTCAGAAGGGTTGCAAGGGGGACTCTGAGCATAGCTTAGTGATCTTTTCTTTTAGATTTGTCCCCATCTTTGAAACCTTTGCAAGAGTTCCTGAGTTCAAGAGGAGATTGCTGATGGCCTGCCCCTCTCTCTTCTGCCCCAAACCCTGCTCCTGGGGCAACTAGTAATCTGTGAAAATCTGGGGATGTCAGCAAGTTGAGTGTCTCTGAAGAGGTTAACCCAGTAAGAAATGTCAGCCAGCTGCACAAGCAACTTTGAACGTGACGGAGCGCTGAGAAACATTGGAAGTAGAGCAAGGGAGAGTGGGCCAATCATTCACCTGTACGGAGAGGCCGTCCCCCAGGAGAAATAATCGGTGGGTCTTGGAGCAGGACGAGGTACGATGGGCTGCTCCACAGCAGTCACGTCTCCTGAGTAGGATTTGAGGAGGGAAGCGTTTTTATTGGCCAGCATGGCTCTCTCGTTCCTGCGGAATTTGGCTCTTCGGTTCTGAAACCACACCTGGAAGATGGTTGGGAGGAGAGGAGGGCATAGGAGAGGGAGGAAGAAAAAGAAGAGGAAGTTACACCAATGAAGTCATGGTTGATTCTACTAGACTATGCCTTCCAAAGGAAGATGTAGGGAAGGTATGGACTTCTCCCGAGAACAATAGAAACATGCCGTCATCTTCCCGAGGTGAGCCGTGTCACAGGGCTCTTAAGGGTGAAGACTTATAGTGGGACCCTGAGGTACTTCCACTAATCAAGACTCCAGAAGTGAGACCATGACTAACTCATGAGATAGCAAAATCTGGTTATAATCCCTGTTGTAATTATAATCAAGAGAAAAAAGAAAATCTCATTAGACGTCTGCCAGAGACGATATTTTTTAAGTTCCTTCAAAACATAAAAACTTCCTCTGCTTTCATAATACGTATTGGCTACATAAAGAAAATTCATCTTCCCCCAAAGTAGGCCTTGCAACACACTTTAAGAAGGAAATGGTTTATTTGGGAAATGCAGGGAACAGCAGTTGAAGAGTGAAGATATAGCAGAGAAGAACAGCCATGGAACAGTGTGTTCAGCCCTGTGGGACAGAAGGGACACAGACTCCCACTGAGGGACACAGACTGCCACTGAGGGGTGAGGGAGCTGAAGATTCCTACACCGTCATTATTGATTATTAATGTTCCAGCGCCTCTGACATGCTGAACACAGGCAGGGAAGCTTCCTGAACTTCTAGAGAGAAACTTGTAAACAGAAATGAAGGTACTGAAGGTTGGAAGTTGAATGGAGTACATTCAATTGTAGGGTTAGAGGGAGTTGGCTGGTGCTGACAGCATCATAATCAACCCATCATTTATTAAGTGCTGCCAGGGCTAGGAACTTATAGAAGCACATTGCATACATCGTTTCTAGTTATCATGAAAATTCCATATATTAGGCCTTATTATTTCTATTTCAGAGTTGAGGAAATAGGTTCAATGAGGTGAAGCCATCTGTCAAAATTCACACAAATAATAAGTGGCTGAATGTTTTAACTCAAGGACATCTGACTCATGATCCTACAACTCTCCGGATGGTCATGGGATTTTATTCATTCATTTACTCATTCAAGAGATCTTTATGGGGTGCCTGTTGTGTTGCAGACTCTGTGCTTAATGCTGGGAACAGAGATGAGGCTTAAGCAGCACACAGTCTATTAATAGAAGGCAGACATGGAAATTTGAAATACTATAAGAGTTTTAGATGCAATTATGGAAATGCATGACAAGGTATGGGAGAAGAAATTCTATGGTGTAGAGTGGAACATTTGCAAAACTCTAGGGAGCAACCTTCACAGAAACTACTGTGCGACGGGTGCCCCGTGGAAGGCCTGGGTGGAAGTCAAGGCAGGATCTGGACACATCTTTCCTGGCTCCGCAGACTCCTAGCTCTTTTGCTTCAGTGTGCCCTTCACATTGCTATAATAGAGCTATCATTTTAAATGCACATGTAATTGTACTAATGAGCCCTGCTGTGTACCACCCACTGGTTCCCCATCACTTGAGGAATCAAATCAAAATGTCATAGCATAGAACAAAGACTGTTCGGGAATGACCTCTTGGTCCACCAATCTGACTGCACCCTACACAGCTTGGATCATATGCACTGGCCCCCTATTTTTCCAACTCCTTGCCCAGACTCAAGTCTATTGACATATTGAGTTATTTCCCACCTATGTCTGTTCACACCCAATGCTCCCTCTGCCTGTGACATTCTTCCCCTTTGTCCAGGTGTCAAAAGACGTATCTTTCAAGATTCGACTTTCACATCACCTCCTTTGTGAAATGTCATGGAAAGAATATGACTTTAATGTCTTACAGAGTTGAATAAAATATTGGCTACAAAATGTTAAAGATCTGTCCTTGGATATTTATTTAATTTCTCTCATCCTTTGCCACTCAATCAAATGAGCATAATGATACCTACTCAGAGGGTCATTGTGACAGTTGGCACAGTTTCAGTGCTGAATATATGTGAATTCTCTCTCCTTTTTTCCCTGGTAGATTTGATCATTCCTTCCTCTGTTCTATCATTAATTCTTTTGTTTTGTTGCTTTTTTAATCACGATTTTTAAAATATATATTTATTGATTTTTTAGAGGCAGGGAGGAAGGGAGAAGAAGAGAGAGAAACATTGATGTGAGAGCGGAACGTTGATTACCTCCTACATGCCCCCTACTGGGAATCCAGCCTGCAACCTGGGCATGTGCCCTGATCGGGAATCAAACCAGCAATCTTTCGATGGATAGGATGATGCTCAACCAACTGAGCCACATAGCTAGGGCTTAATCCCTAATTCTTGAACATTTCTTAAGTATGGGGATTATCTTACCACGTCATAACAGTATGGTATACACATCTGTTTTGTCTGCCCCCAGTTCGTGATATCCTGAAGGGAGGCCATTGTCTTAGTCATTCCCAGAAACCCAAGAACAGTTCCAAGAGCATAATAGGTGTTTGATAAATGTTTGAGGGGAGGAAAAAGTAGATGAAAAAAAGATGAATTGTGCAAAGATGATAAGATATGGCTTCCATCCAAGAAAACTTCACAGTCTAGTGGGGGAAGTTGGCTCACATACAACTCAATATAATACACGTCATGTTGTGATACATGCTGTACTTATAAAGAAGACCAGAGTCAGAAGGGCGTGGTTCAGAGGGAAGGGGTAAGACTTCCAGAGGAAGAATAAAGTCAGGAGGGAGAATTCTGGCCTGCTGGCACAGGGAATGTTCACAGCTCCAAAAGCCATTAGAATATAGTTGGGTGAGAGAGGAAGAAGATAAGGTAGTTTCTACATAGAAGAAAGACATTTAATTATGGTTTTGATGGGGCAACAGAGCTCTCAACCCAAAAATTATCTTTTCACTTTTTCCCCCTCCTATTTCCAGCATTGCTCTGACCAGGTTTCTTTATGTAAAATTGAGATTAGCACCATGAAAGTGGCACTTTCCGATACTGTGGGTTAAGCAGTCTTCACGGACGTGCTCTGAGAGGGCAGGACTGGGCTTACCTGCACTCTGGCTTCAGTGAGGTTCACCCGGCGGGCAAGGTCTTCTCGCACAAAAGCATCGGGGTAGTGGGTCCGCTCAAAGACGCGCTCCAGAGCCTGCAGCTGGCTGCTGTTGAAGGTGGTCCGGTTCCTCCGCTGCTTTCTCTTTTTCTTTTCCTCTGAGTTCAGCTGATCATCTGGAATGGAAGACATTGATGATAAGAAGCGAAAGTCATGTTGAGGAGGGATGGGGTCCCCCCTTTATACTTCCTCTCTGTGTCTCTACAGTGAGATATTGTTTCCTTTGCTCACTGCTTTACCAGGGTGCTGGAGCCAAATGCCACCCATAGGTGCTCATTAACATCCTGTGCCCAGAACCCCAGCAGGTCTGATGCTTGGTTGCTGCTTTGAAATCTGAGACCAGACCTGAGCTGTCACAGGGATACTTCTTGCATGTTCCATGAAGCCTGTTGGTCAAAGAGGCTAAAGGAAAATTTTACTGTTGTCCACATTCTCTAGATTTCTCGAGAGCTGGGGGAGGAAGAGTAGATGGCTTTGGACCTTATTTATATTAGACAATATTGTGTTCATTCAGATAGTTTCACAACCAAGGAGACCAGCTATCCCCTTGGTCTCTCTCCTCAACATACCCACCTAATCACAAATGCAGTAAACTGATTAGAGAGGTTTCTGTTTTACCGTATGTTCTCCTAGAAACAGCCAGTGATTCCTAATTGCATTTGCTCAAGGCTCTGTGTCGTTGCTAAGGCCTCAGCCTAGAGCAGAACTAATGCTCACAGCACCGTCCACCTAAGCTGACAGTGGCCCGGGACTTGCCCTGTCACCCTGTGATAACTCAAGAACAGGGAACAGCACGAAAAGATCTCTTACAGTTTCACCCCCAAATTGAGGTCTAGGGTCTGAAGACCTTACGGTCCTTTGGAGAAACATGACCCCAAGTTTTCACTGTCCAATTCCCTCCTTGGTTTCCTCTGAGTTCCCCCAAAAGTATACTGGCAAGCTGATCACCTAGCCATCTACAGTAGGCAGAGAGTCGTGTGCTCCTGTCTTGCCACCACTGCTCAGCCCAGGAATGATGGATGTGTGTACTGAGTGGAAAACCAGCTGTGTTAACACCCCATTGAGCCGTCACCCGAGGCCCACGCCACTGCCAAATCTGTGCAGCAGAGACCTACAGCATGAGGTGCTGAGGCCGAAGTCCCATGCCTGGCCTGATGAACTGGACATCCACATCCAAAAGCTCTCTGTCCCCAAAGAGATTGGCCCAAAGAGAATTATGAGGGTAAGAGAGGATGGAGAGAGGGAAGAGCTTGGCTACTTGCTTCACATTTCACAGGAAGGAGATCTTAACTATTTTTCCAACATGTGAAGTCTCCTGATCTTCTCTGACCGTATGTATACAACACACTCAAGAAGACTACTAGCTCCAATTATCATGTCCTAATGACACCTACCTAATATTATCCTTATTACAAATCTAGGGAATGTTCTAGATGTGGGTGCACATTCAAAGTGTAGCTCAAATCCAGGAGCTCCTCACCCAGGTCTCTCAGTGCCTAACAACTGAGGCTTCTAAGTCCTTCTAATCAGAGATCTCTTCCTCATGCAGGCTGCCTTGTCAGCAATGCCCTTGGAACTTAGAAGAGAGAAGACACATTTCTTAAAGTATCTAGATATAGCTTGTTGAGTTTGTTTTCTGGGGAAATGGCAGAGTTTTCTTGTCTTTACACACTGTTCTGTAGAGAAAACAACCATCTGTATGATCTCAACCACTTTCCTCCGGGTAGGAAGCCCTGGTAGTCATTCTCTTGACTTCATAGTTGGTCAGGCCCACCACTTCTCTGGTATTGTTTTTTTTTTTTTAAAAAAAAATATTTTTATTGACTTTAGAGAGGAAGTGAGAGTGATAGAAACATCAATGATGAGAGAATCATTGATTGGCTGCCTCCTGCACACCCCCTACTGGGGATCAAGCCTGCAACCTGGGCATGTGCCCTGACTGGGAATTGAACCCATGACCTCTTGGTTCATAGATTGATACTCAATCACTGAGCCACACTGGCTGGGCGTCTGGTATTGTTGAACCTTGACGAGGAGCTCTGCTTCCAAGTCACCGCTGTGGCACTCAATAGCAGATCGGTGGCATCTTGAGAATGGAACCAATTTAAGGGTCATGATCTCTGGGATCTCTCAAGGTCTGGAATACTCGAACCAACATCCCAGTTATACCACTGTTTAGTTATGAGCAAAATTCATTTACGACAATGTCAACACTAGAATGCAAGCACCTAGGAGGATCAAACACCTGTGAGCAGTTAATTGCATTGCATTTGTATTCTTCTTCCTATTTGCATATTTTGTGTCATTCCTAGTGTTCCCATTCTCTTTCCCAAATTTCTTTGTCTAAAGTTCTATATGTCCTATACTTCAGGTCTTTCTGGGTCATCCAGGCCTTTACGACAACACCACAACCTGCATTTTATGTTCCCATGAAACAGAAGTCTGCAAAAAAATCCTTAGCCTCCATACCTACCCCAGACTGAGACCAACCAGACCAGAGGCTATTTTTTTAAATCATATAGAGGAAATCCTTTATTAAGCCAATGACATGATTTGTTTTCTTCCCTCAGGAAAAAATTGCTTCTCCAATGTAACCACAAAGTCTCAACCCTTTGTGCTGCTGTGTAAGCTCGTTTCTTCTTGGACTGCCAAACTGTGATCACTAACAAGAGTATTTTATGTTTTGTTCTTAGTTCTACAACCTACTACAGAATCCTTGGTAGTTCTTTGTCATCTTCCACTGTTCATTCAATCCCACTGACTGTCCACCATCAACCACCAGCAGCTCCCCTGGCGTGGGAGCCAGGGAAATGGGGAATTAGAGTTTCTGACAGAGAGTAAATAGCTATGATGACCCGAGACCATTCCAGCAAAAAGTTTCCCAGCGAACATTCTTGTTGTTTTTAACAAATGAAAACACCAGTCCAGATCATGTCGAAGGTGAGAAAAGACACACGAATGACAGGGGTCCAGGGAGTCTGGGTCTGGCCAATGTCCTTCGAAGTGCGTGGATAATAGAAAGAGACAGTGAGGGGGCAACAGGGACTGCTTGAGCGGCAGCCCTTGGCTCGTCTGTCTTTGCTCACGAATCACCAAGTGCGAGCCCCCATTTTCCCCTATGCACACGCAAGCACAGGGTCTAGCACCGTCTCTGCAGCAGTGTGAGAGGAAATGTAAACACTGTAGAGGTTTAAGAATAAGGGCATTGGCTTAGCTGGTGTGGCTGAGTGGTTGAGTGTCGACCCAGCAACCAGGTCACTGGTTCGATTCCTGGTTATCAGGGCACATGCCTGGGTTGTCAGCTCAATCTCCAGTAGGGGGCGTGCAGGAGGCAGCCAATCGATAAGGTCCTCTCTCATCAATGTTTCTGTCTATCTCTCTCCCTTCCCCTCTTTCTAAAAATCAATAAAAGCATATTTAAAAGAAAAGAAAAGAAAGAATGGGGGCATTGGAAGGACCTGCAATAAGCTCATCAGATTCTAATCTAGACTGAACATAAGAGAGAGAAAGCAATGTGTTTTTTATCATTGCTGGAAGATCATCTTGCCTGTGAAAACATCTACCGTGAAGGTTGATTTTGAAATATGTATTCAAGGATATTGACGTCTAATCAGGAAGCATCTTATTCCTTGGAATTTGGAAGTGAGTAGAATTCACTGAGCTGCAGAATGACCAAAGGGGACATGGATGCATATTTACCAAAAGTCATAATGCTTCAAATCCAAGGTGTTTACAGGTTTTACGGATGATTATGTATATTATGGATGACAACTAATTGCAAGCATGAAGGTATCAACAAACTTTCAAATAAAAACAAGTCAAAATGACCTCTTTAACTAGGTGCAGTCATAAAATATTAGCACCAAATGAAACCGGAGAAATAGTCTAATTCAGCCCTATTATTTGATAGATAAGGTGAATAACACCTAGAAGAATAATGTGACTTGCCCCAAATAACAATACTAGCTATGGCTAAGCCAGGACCCTTAATGCTACTCCATTAAAAAATGCAACCATTCTCTTTCTTCCCCCATTGAAAACATAAGAGGAAGAAGAAGAAAAAGGTAAAGATAAAAATTATGAACAACAGATACATATCTATCAACAAGTGAATCTAAAAATCAAGTGAATAAAAAATCTGATGAACAGTAAACTGATGAATATAATAGAATCAGGGGCATAGAAAGGGAGTGGACTGACAATTTTCGGGGGGGAATGGGATGTGGGAGGGTGTGGGAAGAGACTGGACAAAAATCATACACCTATGGATGAGGACAGTGAGGGGGGGTTAGGTAAGGGCAGAGGGAGGGGTGGGAACTGGGTGGAGGGGAGCTATGGGGAAAAAAAGAGAAACAACTGTAATAATCTGAACAATAAATAAAGATTTATTTAAAAAATTTCTTTGAAAGCTAAAAAAAGAAAAAGAAAACATAGGACACATCCGTAATACTTCCAACAACGAAGATACCCTTTAAAAAAATAAAAGCCCTGACCCAAATAAAAAATTAAAAAAGCTAAAAAATGCAACCATTCTCATCTAGAATAGCTACTTTGATCCAGATGTTCTTGAATTTTCCTTTTCAGTGGCCTCCATAGGTCCTTGCTTCATCAAATAAATATGTGCAAGGTTATTTCATCACAGCAGTGCGCCACATCTTCTCCACACACCCACATTTGCACTTCTCTTCACTTTAGGACCCAGTTCAAAATCTGTTTGCTATGACACATCTGAATTCTTACCTCCTCTACAAAACTTCACTGATAAGTCCATTCTCTAAATTCATATATATATATATATATATATATATATATTTAGTATAAAATCAAATACTTGGTTAAAATAAATTATAGTTCAGTTCTTTGTAAATGTTTCGCCACCTCAGGTATTCCTATAGAAAAGAAATAGGGTGTCTAGCTAAGTTAAATGACAATAAAATGTGAAGGAGTTATGACAGTATTGTGGTATAGAAGCCGTTCCAGAAAATCGGAATCTTGGTGATTCATCTGAATGATTTCTGATTCCAGTTATTCTTTTTAAACAGTACGTAGCAAATAATTGGGCTAACATTATCTTTTCTCTGTGGGTAATTGTACCTGGGGGGTGGGGAACACCTCT